AAAAAAAAAAAAAAAAACTAAATTTTTTTATGGTATTAAAGTTAGTAATTTTTCAATTTTTGTCTAATAAATAAATTAGCTCCGAAAAATTATTTCTAAAAAATTGAATTTTTTAATTTCCTAAATGTCAATTTTTTTTTCTCATTTTCTTTGACATAATTTATTTATGAATAAAAATTCTTAAAATTATAATATAACTGCAAAATTAATTTTCATAATAATTATATTGCTATAAAATTCTATAAAAATTTCTAATGTCTGTCAACTTCAGTATCATGACTTTCCATATTATATCTTCTATCCGGAGTAAGTGTAATCAGATTGCTGTTTTAAATATTTAAATAAGATATGATAAATTTGTCTGTACCCTAGGGTGTTGCGGTTGCTTTTGGTGTCATGAACATCAAGAAAAAAACTAATTTCACCTGCTATCCCGGTGATAATATAATAGTAAACCGGAGATAATGACTACGGCAGTGGGACTTACGGTTGATGACTCAAGGCTCAGTGATGCCAGTCTTTAATATTCTACGTCACCGTTGATTGTGGGTCTCTCCACTCGCTACACTACGGGATACGGGATGAGGTGTACACGATTTAATGACCTTTATCGTATGTTTCATCTGTTTGAGTAAGAAGTGGGTGTCACAACGTCATTGTAGAAGATGATCAATGAAATTTTCAAATGATAATTCACTCGAAATAACTTATGGATTATTTTGGAGTAAAAAATAAATAAGAACTGAATGAGAAATTGGAGGTAATACAAATGATTAGTCGGAAATTATTTTAATATCAGAATATCACATTAAATGCTTTAATTCATAATCTTGCTTAGGAAGAAAAAAAAATACAGGAACAGTTTTAATGGGAATTCTAAGGCTATAGATCTCCCTGTATTAATTCTTATCGTGCTTTGTTTCGTCTCATTAACTTGCATCACATGTTCTATGTGTAATTGTAGTGCGTTATAAGTAACGTAAGTATTTGCAAAGTTATACTGATGCTTATAAGTTGCAGCAAGTGACAATACAAAGATAAAAATACTTCTAAGAAAGGTACGTGTTCCTTGAACGATATACGATTCATCATCCGTTAACGTATAATAGTTATAAGTTGGACGTATATTTAAAGAGTGGCTGATTTATTACATAAGTGGGTATTCGCTGAAAATTGTATTGACATGTAAAATTCCATAATTACTCCTCAAATCCGGTATCGCAATATTTTATTCGTCACAAAGTTTATTTTTAAACTAATGGAATAATCTAAAGACGGCTGAAGACTTTAAGTGACGCCATTGCTGTAAAGTGAGAATTACATTCGGAATTCCAATCACGTGCATACATTGCATCTTTAATATGGACCTGCTGCCGGCTTTCGATGGCGCCAACAACCGTCTACTTTTTTATACGCTATACATTAATATACAGAACAGAATAACAACTTGGCTAAAGCGGTACGGTAGTAAGTCTATATACATGTCTGCGAAATATTCTCTTCGAGAAGCAAGTAATTATTTTTCCCGCGGCAAGGCTGTTTTATGGGAGACTGGTATCTTGAATGACACATACTTGTGTTACACACTTTACTTACACACTTACAATGTCACTAACGTTGTAGATGATCTGAAAAAAATTCTTGAATGAAGGCTAATCAAAGATAAAAAATTTTAATATTTACGTTCATAATTGAATTATCCATTCTTTATTTTTGTAATTATTTACAAGTAGGGTCAAACAAAATTTTTATTTTATCTTTTTTTGATATATATATTTTTTTTTGAAAAGACAAAAAAACGAACAATTAAAAAAAAAAGTTAAAAATCACAATTTTCTAAAAAATTTGTTAAAATTGTGATCAACTTTTTTTTTTTTAATTATTCATTTTTTTAGGTACATGGAAAGAACAAGATGACATTGGATATCATTCCAGATTATACTGAGTGAAAAAAATTCAGATAGTAGATATCATGCAGTATAATCTGGATTTTTCTACACAAAAAAAAGGTTCACTTGAGCCAAGAAAATCTTTTTTTTCTTAATTATTTTCTTGAGTGAAAAAAAAATTTTTTTTTGACAAGAAATTTCACTTATTCTAACTAAATTAATTCTCTTGCTTTAAGAAATACGTATCTTGGTCTAAGAAGATTTTCTTGAGCCAAGAATTTTGTTCTCCAGTCAAGAAATTTTTTTTTCTGTGTAGATAATATTTGAAATATTTTTTCACCACAGATATCACTGAGTATAATCTGAGATGATATACAGTGTCATCTTGTTCTTTCCGTGTATTTAAAAAAAAATATATCAAGAAAATCAAATAGAAATTTCGTTCAAAAAATGAAAATGATAATTTTTTACTCCACTTGTAAATATTTACCTTTAATTTATTTTGTTAAATATTAATTAAGTTCATTAACTGAGAGTTTGAATATTCGGAAAAAAAATTTTTATTTCATTATTTATTCTTGAAAATGCAGATATATTGAAAAATAAAATTGTTTCTTGATTATGGCATGTAAAAATAGTCAAAAAAAAAAAATAACTTTTTTAAAACACTTGAAAATGAATAGTTAATTGAAAATATTAAGTAAATAGCGTACGATTTAATATATAGACAAACGTAGATATAATAATTGTCACCTGAGCAGAGCCATTAAGTATTTGAGAAGATTTAATAAATTTCTTCTTTTGAATAATTGTATTAACAATATTTAACATACATTGAAACGAGGCATTATATTATTATTTTTAAAGTCATTATTAATAATAATAAATAAAAAGTCTATGGGCCAGTCTGGATTGTTTATTAATTGGCCTTGAATCAATTGAAATTGGTAATGTATTTGTTGGTACAACAGTTGAAAAATCTTAAATTATTTAAATGGCAAATTATTAAGATTATATTTTTAATTAAAAAGTTTATTACGTCCTTTTGATCTCTTGGAATGATTAATACTTGATCCTATAACTTAAAAGGCAGTTATTATCATTTTCTTTCCATATTCAGCGACACTGAACATCTGTTATGCAAAATCTAAAACATTATTAAAAGCGGTTCATCGTGTACTTCGTCTTCCTATTGTTCTGAGTTGTTTTTCAATCTCAAATTGACGAACGTCTGCACGTTGAAGAAAGTCTTGACGTTCTAAATAACCATCTTTGCCACGATTGAAAGTTGTTATTTCTTCATCGAGATTTTCTTCTTTTTTAAAGTTATCCCAATCAAGTTTTGATTTTTCTAGAGTACTGATTTTTGCTTTCTTCCCAATTTGACCTAAAACTGAAGATATTCCACCAAGACCACCTCCACGAGTTTTTTTAATAACTTTGCTTGAATCACTTTTTATTTCTGGTTGATTCAATGATTTTTCTGTTGAAGATAATACCAGTCTAGCTTCTGCAGAATCTGCGGGAACATGTTGCTCAACTTTGACTTCTTCACCAGCAAATTCAAATATTTTTGTTATTTTAACTTTCTCTTCAACTTTAGGCCTTACAATTGGATTATTTGCTTGCGAGCTATTTGATGATTTCTGCGGTTTTGGTTTTGATACTGTTCCTAAAAAATGAAAATTACTTTTTAGTAAATGTACTAATACACAAATAAATATTATACTAGCAACTTTGCGCCTGCCATGATTTGTGAACTATCAATAATCAAAATTTTGCTTTATTAAGTAATGAATTTTGGTAAATTGCACTGTACTTTTTTAACTGTTGACATTTTTAAAGAAATAAGCTCATCCCGATGTTATACTCATTAAGAGCTTTCATTTGAGTACCCACATGCATTTTTTATATATTTTTCATATATACATATATATAATATATAATATATGAAATATATGAAAAATTGATGTGGGTACTCAAATGAAAGGTCTCGATGAGTGTAAGGTCAGGGTAAGCTTATATCTTTAAAAATGTCAATAGTTCACAAGATATAAAATCATTTCATAATTATGAAACATACATAATATATATTTTAAAGAAATAAGCTCATCTCGATGTTATACTCATCAAGAGCTTTCATTTGAGTACCCACATGCATTTTTTATATATTTTTCATATATACATATATATAATATATAATATATATAAATATACGAAAAATTGATGTGGGTACTCAAATGAAAGGTCTTGATGAGTGTAACATTGGGATGAGTTTGTATCTTTAAAAAAGTCAATAGTTCTCAAGATATTTGTTAAATTGTACTGTAAATCCTCAATTATTGATGTTTTTAAAGATATAAGCTCATCCTGATGTTACACTCATCAAGAACTTTCATTTGAGTACCCACATGCATTTTTTTATATATTTTTCATATATACATATATATATATATATAATATATATAAATATATGAAAAATTGATGTGGGTACTCAAATGAAAGGTCTTGATGAGTGTAACATCGGGATGAGCTTATATCTTTAAAAATGTCAATATTTCACAAGATACATTGTCATTCCTTAATTATGTATCTAGAGACAGAGCATTTTCGAATGCAGCCCAAATACTCATCATCATAAATTGACTATTGGTGAAAATGATATGAAACCTTGAAAAGGCACAGCTCCGGGTAAAGATTTTTCCAACAATACCAAGTTTACCCATAAAAACCCATTTTATCAACCAAATACCCTAGCCACAAAATTTTGCTTATTCTCTTAATAATATAGATTATAATTATAAGTAATTATTAAAAAAATGTGTTACCAGTATCTTTCATAAAATCTGCCCAAAGAGAATCTGCCCGTACTTTTTCTTCTTCTTCACTTATAACTTTAGTTTCATTTTTCTCCTCTTCATCTTCACTTTCAATATCTTTAGATTCAATCTTTTTACGCTTGTGAGCTTTATTCTTTTTTCCTTTTCTACCTCTCTTTTTTTGTTTTTTCGAATTCTGTTCATTCTCGTCATTTTCATCTTCAGGTCCACTCTCATCTTCTATTTCTCCTTCAGATTCCGCCTCTGATCCTACTGGCTCAGCTCCTTCAGGAACGTAATCTTCATCATCTTCATCAGAATCTGACGGTAATTGATGCTCTTCAGACATATTATTAACACCTGTTGAAAAAAACATAAATACAATATAAAAAAAAAAATAATTATGACTTACAAAAATTCATTAAAATAAAGAAAATAAATATTAAAAAAAAAAAATTACAAAATATACTGATGCATTACCTGAATTTATATTTTATATTGAGTAAAACCGGATATGAAGTAATTGATTCTTTTTACTAGCAATAGTTATTACACTGACTAATATACTCTCTAGTTATTCCAAAAATAAACCTCATTAAAACCAAATCAATTGAATTACTCAATTAAAAAGTAGTGATGAAATAATTACAATTATTTAGCAATTTAATTGGTTAAATGAATATGTATTTTTATGAAAGTTATTTTGTTCACTATTTCACTCAAGCACCACCATAAACATCCGCAATCCGTAAACCTTTTTCTCAACCTTACGCATGTCTAAAAAAAATTATTTCGCATTACATTACTGAGTACCTGCGACACTAACGCCATCTTGCGGATATTTTTAAAACTAGTGATTGGTACTAAATGTGATGATACTGAAGTTAGCCGTCAGCTGTCAATTAAATTATTTTTTTTTTTAACAAATCAATTGCAACAAAAATAAAAAAATGCTTCTAAAAATTTTTGACATTTAATTTATAAAAATTAAGTTAGCCGACATCTAAAAATTTTAATAATTTTTTTTATTGAAATAATGATTACAAAAAAATTAAAAAAAAAATTCACTTGTAAAAAAAAATTTAAAAACTTTAAGTGCAATTTTTAATAAATATTTTTTTTTTTTCCAATTTATTAAATAATAAATAATTAAAAAATTATAAACGTCGGCTAACTTTAGTTTTATAAAAAAATTTATGACCCTCAAGTTAGCCGACGTATAAAAATTTTTGATTTTTTTTATCAATTAAATTACAACTAAAATAATAATTCTAAAAAAATTGCACTAATAGTTTTTCAAGTTTTTTTTTTTTAATTGTTTATTCGAAATTTTTTCAATAAAAAATTTCTAAAAATTTTTAATGTCAGTCAACTTCAGTGTCATCTAGCTGTTTTTAAATTCTAACCATCGGTAATCTTACATTAGTCAGTATCATCAACTGTTTACAATAATAATTACATTGACAACAATTGCTTGAGTCAAATATATAATAATAATTATTATTATTATTATTAAAACAACAAATCTAAATAAAAAATATATTTTTTTCTGAGTGTCAGTGAAATAATAAATTTATTGCAACAAAAGTGTGGTGTTTTAAATAAAAATTATTACAGTAATTATTACTTAATTAATTGATTAGAAATATTATTAATTTGCAAGTTCTATAAAATTATTTTTTAATAAATAACTAACATGGATAATTTGTGTCAGTAGTGTTAAGGTTATGTTGATGAGTTAAAAACATTGAAATTAATTGATAAATATTTTTTGTTTATTGGATTTAAATTGATAAAATAAATAAAAATAGTTGCTATGAATCGAGCAAAATCAGTAGCATCAACAATGGATGATATGGCATGTCCCCGTTGTTTAACAACAAAATACCGAAATCCATCTCTTAAATTGATGGTCAATGTTTGTGGGCATACACTATGTGAAAGCTGTGTGGATTTGCTATTTTTAAAAGGTATAAATTAAATAAATACATTTGAAAAATAATTATACTGAAATTGTGAGACATCTGATAATTTTTAGAATTTTTTTCTAACAATTATTCACAGTCAATAATTATTGACACTTGCAATGAAAATGAAGTTAACCGACATTTCAAAATTTTTTATTGAAAAAATTTGAATTAAACAATTAAAAAAAAAAACTTTGTCACATGTAAAAAACTGAAACTATAAGTGCAATTTTTTATAAATGTATTTTAATTTTTGTATTTATTTTTAATAACTAAATTAAGAAACTAAAAAATTAATTTTTAAAAATGCACTTACAGTTTTTAAAGTTTTTTACAAGTGAAATTAAAAAAATTTTTTTTTTAATCATTTTTTCAATAAAAATAAAAATTCTAAAAATTTTTAAATGTCGGCCAACTTAATTTTCATGACATTTGCAATTTTATTTTAATTAAATAAAATAAATCGACTCTAATAAATTATTAAATATACAATTTTTTAACTATACGGCTGCCTAATTTCAAAACACAGTAATTAATAATTTTAAGATTTAAAAAAATTTTTCTTATTAAAAAAAAGTTTGCGGGCCAAATTGATAAAAAATTTGATTTATGAATACTAAATACTTGAATATAAATATTTTAAAAGTTATAAAAATGCAGCAATACTAAAAAAAAAACGGGCAGCCGTATAGATTTAAGGGTAATTGGTTTTTTGATAACATTTTATTTGTTTAATTAGAATAAAATTGTAAATTGCAGTGTCAATAACTGGGTCTTTTACCTTAGCTTTAAAAAATTTTAAATACGATTTTTTTTAACCCGTTGAGAACACACAAATATTGATTTTTTTTCCTTAAAATATATTGCTTTCCGAATAAAATAGCGTCGGATTTTTTAAAAATCAAAATTTCTGCGACTTTTTTTATAAAAAAAGTTCAATTTCGTAAGTTTTTTTTTCTAAACAATTTTTCAGTATTTTTAAATTATTATAAATTAAAAATAACTATTAAGATATTTAGAGAGAATGTTACATTAAAGTTTAGTGCCAATTATAAGTCAATACATCACATAGGAAACGAATTAGAACTGTTTTGCCATTAGACCCCGTGTGTCCTCAACATAATTTTTTCGACGTGTGTCCTCAACGGGTTAATTAATTTACTATAGGAAAAAAAATTACTTGAATCAAGTAAATAATTTTGAAGAACTTCATCTTATTGATTTGAGTAGAAAAATTTTTAAACTAAGAAATTTTTCTTGGTTTAAGTAAATTTTATTTAATTCAAAAATTTTTTGTCTTGATTCAAGACAATAAAACTCTTCAAAATTATTTTCTTGGTTCAAGAATTTTTGTCTTGATTCAAGTTAAATTTTTTTTCAATGTAGACCTTGTTTAAAGAAAAATCAAAAAATTATCAAGTGTCTGCTGACTTTAATGTGATAAAAAATAATATTTTTATTTTATTTTTTAGGCTCTGGATCCTGTCCAGAATGTTTCATACCTTTGCGAAGAGGTAATTTTAGGATTCAAATGTTTGAAGATTCCATGGTAGAAAAAGAAGTGGACATAAGAAAGCGTATCTTACGTGATTACAATAAAAGAGAAGAGGATTTTGCAACAACTCGAGAGTACAATGATTACCTGGAAGAAATAGAAACAATTATTTATAATTTGTCTAATGATATTGACATACTGGAGACAAATAAAAAAATAGAGCAGTATAAAAAAGAAAATAAAGATCAAATTAATAAAAATAGAATGAAATTAGGTAGATCTGAAAGTGAATTACAAGATTTATTACTTTTAGAAAAGCAACGTGAAGAAGAACGTAAATTACAGCTTGTTCGTGAAGAAATGGAAGTTAAAAAACAAAAAATACGCGACAAAGAAGCGCTTATAGATGAATTAATGTTTTCTGAAGGAAATGCTAAAAATATTGTTGAAACATTCGCTAGTTCTATGCAAACAGCTGCGGAAAAAGCTAAGAAAGTTGCACCAATACCTAAAGCTACACAATTTAGTACGGGGATACAATTTGGCACGCAAGGAACTCAAGGATTTTTACCAATTCCAAAACAAGAAGAAGGGCCAATGTTTTCGTATGTACCTATTGAGCAAAAATCAGAAGGACCTCCGGCACCAACTTGGCAGCAAGTTTATTCTGATGGATATATTAATCACGTACGTGCTGAAACAAAAGTCGACAAGGCTGGAGGATTTAAAGCAACCATTGCGTGTCTAAGAGCTCTTCAAGAAGCTATGGCTGGCTTGTATTATAATCCTCCACGATCTGCTAATTAAACCTGTGTAATAATTTATTGTCTTCAACCTTGTAATAATATTTTTTGAGGTATTTTTTCTTCATTATATTCATACCTTTTTCTATAAATAGATGTAAATTATTTATAATAAACGCATTTAATAAATTTATTTTTGTGATTTTCAAGACTAACATTTTTGAGTCTTATTCTATATATATAGAAAAAAAGGTTCTCTTGAGCCAAGAAAATATTTTTCTTCCTAATTAGTTAGTTATTTATTTATTTTTATGCCAAGGCTATAATGGCCGAATGGCAAATACAAAATTACATATTTAATTTAATAATATACAGTAGAATAAAAATATACATTATTAGTTTAATTACTTATTTTAGTACCCAAGTATTATTATTATTTTAGTATTGATTTATTGAGTTTTAATTCTTTATTTGTAAATTTATATTATGATTTAACTGAGATGATAACTTAAGACAACGTCTGAGCTTACTCACAAAATTAAAATTACAATACCCTACTTTGTTGTTAACAATTTATATTTTTTAATTATTTCATACAATTTTCTAATAATCTTAAGTCTTAAATGATGAATAACTATCATAATATTTTTTTTTTGACAAGAAATTTCACTTATTCCAACAAAATTAATTTTCTTGCTTTAAAAAATACGTATCTTAATCCAAAAAAATTTATTTAAGTCAAGAAAATCTGGTTTTGAGAAAATTTTGACAAGAAATTTCACTTATTCCAACAAAATTAATTTTCTTGCTTTAAAAAATACGTATCTTAATCCAAAAAAATTTATTTAAGTCAAGAAAATCTGGTTTTGAGAAAATTCAGCCTCTTGCTCCAAAAAATTAAATATAAAGATAGAAGTAAATTTTCATTAATATTTTTATTGATTAACATGTCACAGGAAGAATAAATAATATTTCATCATTTTTTTCATTCAATATGTATAATAGCACGCTAAAATAATATAAAATGGGTATCAAATATTCAAGAGAAAAATTTTCTCAAGGTGAGAAAATTTTTTTTTCAGCTGAAGTAGGTGTCGCTGCTTCCCTAAAGTATCTAAAAATCATCAAATATAAAAATTTATCGTGTCAAGTATTTATGATAATTTGAATCAAGAAAAAATTACTTCGACCAAGAAATTTTTCGATAGATTGAATAAAATGTGTTATTTTTTATTCAATACTTTAGTGAGTATTTATTGATATCGATATATTATTAAGAGCTTATATCTAGATCAATTATCATGATATTATATAATACACTTGAAAAACTTTAAGGCGGCAGATTAAGTTTACAATCAATATAAACATAAGGGCTAAATCAATACAACTCACCTGGGTAAAAATATCTGTAGTTTCTTTTCTCAATATTAAAAAATATTATTTCGTAGTATAGATAAAATTAGATAGCTCTTAAAATATTGCCAGGGTCTTAACTTATATATTAATATTTGTACGACAAACAGAGAGTTAGTTGAATCCCTTAACTTTCGAGAAGTTTGACAGGGCCCTCAACCTTTTTTACTCTTCCGGAAACAGATATCAATAAGAGAGAGGAGTTAAATTAAATATGTGTCGTTAAATAAAATAAAAAAGCGATGAACCGACAAAAAAAGGTGTAGGTATACATTTGTGAATGTTCATATTTAACAGTCTTAAGAGTCGTAAAATTTTAAATTATTGTGTACTAATAATAATAAAATAGATTTTTAAATATTTTTGAACGATTTATAAGATAGGTAAGGCCAATTGTGGCCTTTTAGTGTATAGTCGTAATATTAGCAGTTGACGAGATGCCTGATTAGTTACGGACAATGAAGCAAACACAGCACGAGCATGGAGCATGTAACAATACCAATGTACCAAGTACTCCCCTCGTGTATACCGTTATTCGTTAAAACCACCAGGTTCATTTCTCCACAATATTTTCTTCTTTCTCATTCTCGTTCGTACAAGTCGTAGAACTTATACACACTTGAATGAGATGATGGGGTTTTGAGCCTACAACCACGTACACTAAAACTCATTTTAAACCCACTCCGTGGTATACTACTATACACTGACTCTTTACTTATAGAAAAGCTCTACTTTATTTAGTTACCCCTCACGGTGAAGATGATAAATAACAATCATTTTTACATGAACCATCGCAAGAGTTATTTTCTGAGTAAGGGAAAAATAAGAAAGGGTGATTCAAGTTAAGTTTCTAAACCCGATGACAGTGAGGGTTCCTTAAGAGCAGGTGAAATCATCGTCTTCTCATTTGTTTCTCTTCTTTTTAAAGTTAATCACCCTTTAGAGCAACATCCAATTGCTCATTCATAAATATATGTACTTATTCGTATTATATTTGGAGTTTAGATTCTAAGATGCGACAAAAATATAATCTAAGTTGAAATGACACTAAAGTTGACAGAGATTGAAAATTTTTTTAGAATTTTATGGCAACTTGCAACCTTGCAGTAACTATGTGACTACCGTGACTTGTGAATTATGAATAAACAAAATTTTGCTTTATTAAATAATGACTTTTGTTAAATTGCACTGTATTTTTTTTAACTATTGACGTTTTTAAAGATATAAGTTCATCCTGATATTATACTCATCAAGACCTTTCATTTGAGTACCCACATCAATTTTTCATATATTTATATATATATTATATATATGTATATATGAAAAATATATCAAAAATGCATGTGGGTATTTAAATGAAAGGTCTTGATTAGTGTAACATCGGGATAAGCTTATATCTTTAAAGATGTCAACAGTTCACGAGATACAAGGTCATTTCTTAATTATGTATCTAGAG